ACAGTATCTGAGCAGAATTTACTAAATTTAAAAACACATAGCTTATCTAAATATTGAAAAGTGTTGTTATTGTCTTGAGTCCAAATGAAAGTCACTTGTTTTAGGTATTAAGATAATAAAATACCTGCGACAAAATGAAAATATCCTTCTAATTCCTTTGGCTAAATTCCTAACTATCTCTTGTTTAAACAGTTTCATTAACCCTTAGTTCAGACTAGCAACTCATGTATACTGAATGTTCCTTATAAATGCTCAGCTTATTTATATTTTGTTAGAAATACCTTGCAAACATAGCTCTTCTAAACTTCACATGCAGGGGTCATCTTCTTCCTTTTGCAACTAGACTTGAAATAATACCAGTCAGATGGGTTTTCTGTCTCCTTCTCACTGAACCAAGCAAGCTTCCTTCCGTAGCTTATGGAGCTGAAAATTGCTAATCTCTCATATGTTTCTATCCCTTAACAATAGGCAAGTTGTTTCACAGCGTGGAAAATGAACATGAATATGCACAATGCTCTGGCAGTTGTCGACTGCAGTCATTTTCCAGGCGGCCAACTGAAGGCCATACATAGAGTTGCCTTTGTTGTGAGAAAAACAATTGCTCTGAAGTTTATGGTGATACTGAAGTAGTGTAGTGCTCTGCATCACTGCTGGCTCAAACACACACAAGTGGGGGCTCAAGGACCCGTCCACTCAGTCAGGGGCACAACTGGAGCATTGCTTCCACATTCTGAATTTTGGAACATGTACTTTCTGTATTTTTTCTAAAATTATAAAGGAAGGTAGTTATTTTTCCATAATTCTTCTTTCTAAAAGTAAGAGAAACAAAGTTTTCCTTTTGGAATAACAAGGCAAAAGTTTTTATTCTTCTTTTTGCTCTCTCTCTCTCTCTCTCTGACACAGGGTCTTACTACACAGCCTAAACTAGCCTACAACTCAAAATCCTCCTGCCTCAGCTCATGAATGTGAAATACAGAAATGAGACATCATGCCAGGCAAGATTAAATTCTTATTCAGCTCATTTCAAAAATAAAATTAAACATTGTAGTTTAATAAACACAGCTCAAATAGTTCAGGAAATCCCGTGCAATGCATTTAATGAAGCCAATGAAAAAGCACCCAACTCGAGGTACAAAATGCCAAAAGCTTATATACAATTGGCACAAATGGGTGCAGGTAAAATGCGAAGAATATTTAAATGGTAGCAACTATTTTCACTAAAAAATTTCAATTCCTGAAAGTTTTCTTCTCTTTTTTGCTCATCTTTTAAGTATACGTAACTTGCCTTCCCTTTATTTTTTTTTCTTTCAGATGTCACTTTTTAAATTTTTTAACTCAGGGATGTCCCTGAGGTGTTTTTTTTTTTTTTAACTCCAGGCTAGTGCTGTTCCACTTGAGCCACAGCTCCACCACCAGCTTTTTGGTAGTTAATTTGAGGTAAGAGTTTCTTGTTTAGCCTCTTGATTAGCTAGGATCACAAGCATAAGCTATTGGAACCTGGCCCTTTTTAAAGCAAGTGTTATTATTGTTAAATAATTGTACAAAAGGGTTTCAATCAACAAATCAATTTATGAGTACACGCATCATGTTTACTGTCACACTTCCCATCATCCTCCTCCATTCCATTTCACATATGTACAACGAGTATTATGATTGCATTTTTCCTCCATTCCTCTATTTGTCTGCTCCCTTCTAAGTCTCACCCTGACATGTTTCAGCTTCTTGGTATTTATTTATTAAACTGTTAATTGTTCAAAGGGTTGAACCATGGCAATGCATTCCATAATTTGCTTAATTTCATTGTGTATATATGCATATGGTCCTGTATGTATTTTCATGTATGATTACATTTTAGATCCAACTTTCACATATGAGAGAAAACATGTGGCTTTTGTTTCTCTAAGCCTGATTTACTTCATTCAATATAATCTTTTCTGGCCTCATCTATTTCCCTGCAAATAACCTATTATTCTCTGATATGTCTGCATGTATACATGAAGATGTGCAGATGATATATACATACATATATATACACATGTATATCACATTTTCCTGATCCATTAATTGATTTCAAGGCATCTGAGCTCTTTCTATAACTTGGCTATGGTGAATAGTGCTTCAGTGGACATGGACGCGCCTTTATTTTATCTCTTTTTCTCATCAAAAACGTTTATTTGTATGAACAGTTCCTAGCTCATGGTTTAGCTTAGAGCTTTTAGAAGACCAGAGTTTTGAGTTTGAAACATTTCTGCTATTAATCAGAAATAACTCTTTCTCAAAATGAGGGAAGGGGTAACAAGTTCAACAAGAAATGTACTCATTACCTCTGTACATCACCTTGACAATAAAATGAAATTTCAAAAAAAGAAATAATCCTTTCTATTTCCTGGCTTATCTGTTGTTGCAGTAAGCCAAAACTGAAACCAAAGTGACTTTTCCTGATGGACAGATGATAAACCGTGAAAGGAATGTCCTGAATCCTAGAGCTGTCTTGCTGATTTCACACACCTTCAGCTTAGTCCATTCTCCCAACCAAAGCCTGAAGGAAAACGCTAATTCCTAATTGTGTATAACTGAACTACCCATGTGGCCAGCTCTAGAAAATAAAAGGAATGGGCATCTTCCCTTCTGCCCTAGGATTTGGTACCTCCTATTTAACGCTGATCAGGTAAAGAGAGGAGGCTGTGCCTAAAGTCAGAGAAAAGACTGGCCCTAAGCAGTCCGTAGTGAGACATGGGATTATGGGATGGCCACCTCAGTTCAAGCAGCCAGTGGAGGAGCAGCAGTTTACTAAATTCCAAACAGAACATCTGCAAATTGGTAAGCAGCACCTAGACACCTCACGTGACAGTAATAGCTGCAGTGGCAGATCAAGCTCGTTGGTATCAGTGTCCTCCTTCTTATATGGGCTCCTGAAGACACAGATGCTCCCATTACAGCTGGCAGTCTTCCAGAGGGAGGAAGCAGAACTCCAGGCCTCAGGAAGGCAAAGCTGGGTGAAGCTGTCTAGCAGGGAATTACAGCATACCAGAGAGTCCCCTTCAGCCATGATGAATACAAGATCTTTATGTACAGCTGTGTGCGTGAGACAGCATATAGGGTTTCACATGCCACTTCTCTGTTTCTGTGTCAAAATCCTGGCTTAGGAAGGTTTGGTAAAGAAGTCCAGTCATTCTCCTCACCCCCTAGCAAGTAGATGCTTCTATTGAGGTTAGCACCAACAGCCCCAGACACAGCCATCTCTAGCTGGGTTGCCTCTGTTCACAAATTATCACCTACTGCATAATAAATGACCGCAGTGTCCTGTCATCCAGAGAGTGTATGGCATCTTTCCCAGGCACAGACACCAGGGTGTACTGGAGCAGGTCTTGGGGCAAAGGCTCACACTGCTCCCAGTCAACAGTGGCATTATTGCACTTCCACATGTGCTGTGGGATAGACCCCCCCCCACACACTACAACATAAAGTTCTCCTCCATACTTGCAGGCTGCAGTCATCTGGTGACACAAGCTGTATCGACCACTGAAGCCACAGAGTCATCCTCCACACCGTGCAACGACACAGCCAATAAGTGGCTGTGAGGTGACTCTTTCCCAATAAAGTACATGTGCATGTTTCTCCCCAATTGCTTTTAAATTAGTCCCAAGTGACTCTGCAAAAGCCTCTCTTTCTTCTTTATTAAAAGTGATTCTATTGTTTCTGTGGGGCAGTGGGGCAAATGGAGAAATTGCTCTGTGCTCCCCAACGGGACCAGGTGGATCTTGGCACAGTACCTGGCCGCAGTGTGGAGCTCAGGTTCACTGTGTCTAGCTGCTGCATCACCTCAAGGTAGTTTCCTCCTGCACTGTGTGGGCCAAAAACCGAGAACATTCCTCAAAGAGAGATATCAGCTGATACATGTGTGACACCTCACAAATTCCCTGCTGCGCATCAGCAGGAAGGTTCACAGTCCCATGTAGAGATAATCAACCAGGAGGTGGAAAACAGACTCACGGACATCCTGCAGCATGATCACTGTGTGGGCCTCCTTCCAGTTAGAAGTAAACATGGACCAGAAGCAGCAGCTCGGAGCTGAGAGGCCCAGCCTATGGAGCCAAAGCTCCCAGCCATCCACTGAAATGGTGACATCAGCAAAGATCTCGTCCTCTCAACAGTTTCATGATGGCCCGAGTCACTGGCCCTGAACGGCACCGACTTTGAAAGTGTGGTTCACAAATTATTTTTCCTCTGGTGATTCTATGGTACCAACTTCTCTCTCTTCCAGCTGTCTGTCAATGCCTCAGCATCTTAACCTTCTCTCCAACTGCTGGTAGGTATTCCAAAAGCCAGGCTACATTCACCACACTGTACTACTACCTGCTGCTATTATGTGCTCACCTGCATTCCCTCTTCTCAGGAGGGAAGCTCTGCTCCTTTATTGATTGTATCTTGATTTGCAGCCTATAGAATGGGACAAGATCTTTGCCAGCTATATGTCTGAGAGGATCTAATAACCAGAACATACAAGAGCTCAAAGAAACAAATCCCTCAAAGAATAACAGAATGGGCACAGAAGCTAAATAGACAATGTCTCGGAAGAGAAGTTACAAACGGCCAATATACATGAAGACATTGTGGACATCCTGGCAGTAAAAAAGATGCGAATCAAAGCAACACTGAGATTCCATCTCATTTTACTCAGAAAGACTACAGTCAAGAATATCAGCAAAACAAATGCTGCTGCTGCTGCTGCTGCTGCTGGGCACTCATTACACTGTTGGTGGAAATGTGGACTAGAGTAGCCACTATGGAAGGCAGTTTGGAGATTGCTCAAAAAAAAAAAAAAAAAACTAAACATGGAACTATCCTAAGATCAGTGATACTACTCTTTGAAATTTGTCTAAAGCACTGCAACTCAGAACCCAATAAAGGCACCTGTTTCTCCTTTAACAGCAGAAACTCAGCACAGAGTGGAGCACTCTTTTGTATGTGGTATGGGTTGTTTTTGACTTCATCCCTCCTGGTGTGCTGACTTGGGAAACACAGATGACTGATAGCAGCTCTCTCAAGCAAGGAGGTAAGTTGGTGACAGCCACTGAAAACTGGTCCTACTTCATGCATGCACTTCATATTGCACGTATCAAGGATGAAGCAGTTCTTGCAAAATAAAGATATCTTATTTTCAAATGCCAGGTTGCATTAGCAGAAAATGTTTTCTACTGAAGTCCTAGAAAGAAATTATTATCTCAGAAAACAACCGCATGCAAAAATGCCTTGTCCCTTTCAAACTATTTCTAAAACAGTAAAACATGCACTATTAATCAATAATGATTTTTTGGTTCATATGATTTATTTTGATTTTTTTGTTTTGTTTTGAGAAACTATGGCCTTAACTAGTACCTAAGTACTCCTTTAAACATAACCTGCAGAATTTTTCCATGAGGCTCCATCAAGGCCTTTATTGTTTTATAAAAAAGAACATCAAGTCCTTGCTGGGCACTGGTGGCTCAGGTCTATAATCCTAGCACTCAGGAGGCTGAGATCTGAAGATCACAGTTTGAAGCTAGTCCAGGCAACAAATTCCATGTGACTCTTATCTCCAATTAAACGCCAAAAAAAAACCAGACATTGAGCTGTGGTAGAACACTAGCCTTGAGCAAAAAAGCTCAGGGACAGTGCCCAGGCCCTAAGGACTGGCACCAAAAAAAAGAACATCCAGTTCTGTACTACACCAATCTGCTCAATGCAATCACATTACTTTAAGTGCTTAACACATGTCTGGCAACCACTTCCATAGCAATGAGTCATCTACCATTTATAAATGCAAAACTAAGTTTTGTTAAGTCATGCTGGTTTATAATACGTGGAAATGTTATTTATATGTCATTTATAACCTACTTTTCACTAACTTAACTGAATAAGTTATCATGGATGTTAACTTTTTGCAGGGAGGCAATGTATAGTAATCAGAAACCTAGTTGCCATTGTAAATTGAAAATTATCTTTAAATTACACTGATCTCAAGCTAAAGAGTATGGTTTTTTGTTTGTTGTTTATTTTGTTTTTTTGGGGGGGGAGGTCCGGTCATGGGGCCTGAACTCTGGGCCTGGGCGCTGTCCCTCAGCTCTTCACCTCAAGGCTAGCACTCTACTACTTAAGCCACAGCACCACTTTCGGCTTTTTTTCCCCCTGCTTATGTGGTGCTGAGGAATCAAACCCAGGGCCTCATGCATGCAAGGCAAACGCTCTACCACTGAGCCACCTTCCCAGCCCTTGTTTTTTTTTTTTTTTTTTTGTCTGTTGTGGGACTTGAACTCTGGGTCTGGGCACTGTCCCTCAGCTCTTCAGCTTAAAGCTAGCACTCTACCACTTGAGCCACAGCACCATTTCTGATTTTCTGAGTGGTTTATTGGAGATAAGAGTCTCACAGGACTTTCCTGCCCAGGCTGGCTTTGAACCACGATCCTCAGATCTCAGCTTCCTGAGTAGCTAGGATTACAGGTGTGAGCCACTGGCACCCGGCTTAAAGTGTATGTTTGTGTGTATATGTGTTTGTGTATGTGTGTGTGTACATGTGTCTGTGTATGTATGTGGCAGGGACTCAAATCTAGGACATTGCACATGCCAGGGGTGTGCTTTCCACTGAGTTCTATCCCTAATCAAACAGTTTAAATTTTTTTCCCAACATTTAAAATTTTTATGTTAAGTGAATAATTTAAGAGCTTTAGTAAAGCTTCACATGGACCATGGATTGCAGAATTTTTAAGTGGGAAACTAGATTTTCTGAGATATTCCTTTATATTTAAAAGAAACTTCTTTAGAAATGTATTTAAACTTATGTAGGGCAGATTTAGGAATATACAACAGAAAATAGGCCAATTAGAGAACAAGAAGGCCAACACTACTAATATGATAAAAATGCATGTAAAACTTCTGCACTTAAAGGAACGATGAAATACATTGCATTAATAAGCAAAGAGGAAAAAAAAGAAAACTGGTGTGTATCCTGAAGCTTGAACTCAGTATTTGTTGACTGAGTAGATGAGCAAATCTCTATAGAAAGAGTAAGGCTTTCCAGGAAACTTTAGGCAGAACGTTGGGGGAAGAGTATGTTTTTGTCTGTTTTTGTATAGAAAAATAGTTACAACACAAAACCAACCTTTCTCCTAACTCTGCATAGTTATGGGTCTATTACCTAAAGACTTGAAGAATTAAAAAAAAACCTGAAGAGGTAAAAACATCACATAAAAAGAATATATATATATATATATATATGTATATATACATATATACATATACATACATACATATATATATATATATATTACTATCCAAGGTAGAACTCTTACAATTTATATACTAAATAACAGAGCTAAAATATAAAGTAAATGCAAAAGGAATGGATATAAATACAGGATAGGCATTCTTTTTCAGACATGAAATTACAAGCAAAAAGGTAACATTAAAGGCTATCTAGCATCTAATTATATACACCCTACATATGACGAGTTTAGAATTTAAAAGTGTAAGTCAGATGATTAAATGAATGTCTTTTGTATGTTTATATGAAAGACAAAGGGTGAGAGGATCTGTCTTCCCAAATGAATGGCAACCAGAGGTCCACAGAAGTCCAAATATCAAAACCAGTCTCGGGGGCTGGGAAGGTAGCTTAGTGGTAGAGTGCCTAGCATACATGAAGCCCTGGGTTCGATTCCTCCATATAAACAGAAAAAGCTGGAAGTGGTACTGTGCCTCAAGTGGTAGACTGCTAGCCTTGAGCAAAAAGAAGCGTTAGGGACAGTGCTCAGGCCCTGAGTTCAAGCTCCAGGACTGGCAAAAAAAACAAACCAAAACAAAAAACCTGTCTAGGAAAAACTACCCTAATAAGACTAGTTCCCATAGCCTGGATCTGGACATACCCTAAGTTAGCACCAGATCTGGTCATACTCTTTACATGTTTTCACATTCTTTGTTGATGAGTTTGAATTCATGGTACTACACTTTCTAGGGAGGTGTGGTACCACTTGAGCCACGCCCCCATCCTTTTTTGCTTCTGTCATTTTTTGGGACAGGGTCTCATCTATTTGTCCAGATCCTCCCATGGATGCCTCTTGCGTAGCAGGGATTACAGATGTGAATCCCCTTATCTAACTTGTTCTTTTAAAACTCTGTTTTAAAACTTTTTGCTTGGGCTTTCCTCCAATTTTGATCCTTCTATCTCTGCCTCCTGAGTAGTTGGGATTACAAGTGTGACACTGTGTCTGGCTGTAATCATTTTCAATATTATAAGAGGACAATGAAAAGAAACAGAAACTTTTGGAAACAAGAAAGGAACATGACTCAAAGGTGGGAAATTCCTGTTGTCATTAAAGGGTTGCTGGTGTATAAAATGTTCTTTATCTTCCACTTAAGAACTTGCTTTCAGGTTCAGCATTTCTACTCTCTCCAAGAAGAGGAAGCTAGAAGCAGCAACAAGAGCGTTAGCAGCAGCAGTAATAAAAAAGAACATGAAGCTGAAGGGCATGGCTATAGTCTTGGCTGTGATATTCTATGCTACAGTTATTCAAGGTATGTAGTACTTTGCACTTCTCAGCCTATAAATTTCTTTTGTCTTTCATCCTAAAATTTTCATTTAACTTCACACATATGAAGTTACAGCTTTGGCAAAAATGTTGAAAGCATTGAAGGCACTAGAGATGATTAGCACACAGATGCTAAATTACATCTCAGCTATCTGGCAAGAGCCCTTAGCAATATCTTTAAATAGCTGGCAAGACTTTAAAGGGATTATGTTCACTTCCTAGAAAAATCTTTTTGTTTTAATTGTGAAAATACGGTACAGAGGAGTTACAATTATATGGGCAAGATAATGAGTACATTTCTTATCAAGCATTGTTGCCTTCTCCTTTGTTTCCCCTTCCCATCCCCTTCCCATCTACTCCCCACCCCACCAAAGTTGTAATGTTGGTTTTTTGACATAATGACTTGTACATCTCATTGTTGCAATGGGTCCACCTGTATCCCTATTTAAACGGTTTGTTTTTGCCCTTCCCCTCCACAAATTATAACAACATCAAATACAGTGAAAGCAGGGGTTATACTGTGGGGGAGGGACATACAAAGCAACAAAGAAATCATCTTATAAATATGTTAGAAACAATCGCATGAAAGAAAAACATTTGAATACTTATCTTGGGGTTCATTTTGCCTAACATCAACTTATCTGACCATTTCTGCTTGTCTCAGACATATATTAGTTATTGCATGTAAGGGAAACCATGGGACCTATGTTTTCTTGGGCCTGGCTTACTTAATATAATTTTTTCCAAGTCTTTCCATTTCCTAACAAATGGGGCAATGTCATTCTTTCTGATGGAGCCTAGAAAAATCTTAAGCATAAAATCGAGCTAAACAAGCTTCAGCTCTAATAAACCTTCTTCATGCTTCCTTTTTATTTATTTTTATTTTATTTTATTTGTTGTTGTGGGGCCTGAACTCTGGGCCTGGGTGTTGTCCCTCAGCTCTTCAGCTGAAAGCTAGCATTCTACCACTTTGGGCCCCTGCACCACTTGCTGTTTACTGGTGGCTAAGTGGAGATCAGAGTCTCACAGACTTTCCTGCGCAGGCTGGCTTTGAACAATGATCCTCAGATCTCAGCCTCCTAAGTAGCTAGAATTATAGGTGTGAACCACCAGCACCTGGCTTCCCTTTAGTTTTTAATGGTTTGTTGACAAACTAAGAGAAAATCTCCAACGTCTTATTTAAATCTTTCCCAATAGCAGCAGCATGCCATACTACTGGATAAATTACTGAAATAAGTGAAACTCTTCTCACATTCATCCCTACTCCACAATGATAAACCACAACTGTGTGTTGCAATCAGGTATGTGACTAAGCAACACTAACCACTGCTATGCTCTGTTGTTATAGGCCTCCCCATGTTCAAAGGTGGGCGTTGTCTTTGCCTAGGCCCGGGAGCAAAAGCAGTGAAAGTGGCTCACATTGAGAAAGCCACCATAATGTACCCCAGTAACAGCTGTTACAAAATGGAAGTGATGTAAGTAAGTGCCAGACCCACAGTGGTGGGGGCTTGTTTGGCTGATGTTTTCCCACCGGAAGTGTAAGACGCCTTTTGCTCTTCCCTTAACAGTATTACTCTGAAAGCACAGAAAGGCCAACGCTGCCTTGACCCCGGATCAAAGCAAGCAAGCTTCATAATTAAGGTAGGCCACTGATGACTTCCATGTGAAAGCCCATTTTACCCAAGACAGATCTTTGAGGAAAAAAAGAAAATAGCTACTGCAGATCCTATGCTATGCTCCTGTGTGAACACCCTGCTATTATGATAACATAATCGCATGATGACAGATGATTTCGCATGTCAGTTCCTCATTGCTGAGAAAAACCTGCCCAGTAAATAAAATTCTCATTTTCTCATTATAGCAAGTTCAAAGAAAGAATAAAGAAGAAAAACATAAAGTCCTGGAAAAGAGGATCTGAAGTCTAGAATAGCCACTCAGGAGGCTGAGGAAGTCTGAGATCATCATGTATGCTACAACTACAGTTTCACTCAAGTACCAAGGAGAACTACTTCTTAGAAATCCCTGCATGGTAATCCTTGCAGAGGTAATTGTTTGGTGATTCTCAATAAACTGCTACCACACAGGAACGTGCTGAGGTGATTTATAGACTTTATGTACTTACCCATAAATCATATTTTAGCGCTTTTTTTTGGTGAAAGGGGAAAACTTTTTTTTTTTTTGGGTCAGTCATGGGGCTTGAACTCTGGGCCTGGGCGCTGTCCCTCAGCTCTTCAGCTCAAGGCTAGTGCTCTACTACTTGAGCTACAGCACCACTTCCCATATTTTAGCATTTTTAAGTTATTCCAAGAAAGAAACAATTTCCAATAAAAGCCTAAAGAAAACTGAATAATGATCCAAAATATGAAATTATATATACTAAAGTATATCTCAAGTTTTCTACTCCTAAAGGTGGCCAATGATGAATGAACCAAAGTTAAAACTAGATGTCTTTTGAAACTTGTGATTAAAAGTAGAAAAACATTATTCATAGATTCTAATTATTTTCTTTAAACAGCTGATATATCAAGGGAAGGGAGAAAATGCCACAATTCTTGGAAGCACATTTACTTTTATAGTGTGCTCACATTTTCTCTTTTTCCACAAAAATTAAAACTGTCACATTTGTCAAAATCTTGCCAGATATTCAGAAACACAATGCTCTATTTCAAGGTAATTCTTTACTATTGTATGTACAATTCCAAAATCGAATATTACTATTTCTCTACCCTCTAGCTCTCTTTAACATGACCATATTCTTGTGATTATCACTTCTGATTTAATCCATCCCTCCACCCCCCACAGCTGTTCACAAGTTCCAGAAAACAAAATCATCTAAACTGCTTTCAATACATATCATTATATCAACAAATACATCCTATCTATTTATACACACATGGTCCATTCAACACTTTTAAAAAGTTAAGTAACAATTTAGAATCTCTTGCCAGTTATATTCAGCATCTGTCCTGGTGATTTTTACCTCAAAACAAATCTTAATTATAGTAAATGTCTCCAATTCATCCCTCTTTCTCCCATGTCCAAAGTTACTGCTTGAGTTTGGACTCAATCTCCTCTTAGCCAGACACTTACTCTCTCTGCCTCAGTCTCCACCCTTCAACAACACTCCAATGCAAGATTTAACAGACTGCTTGACCAAGCTTCAGTCAGGTTTCTTTGAACCTTTTTTCAACTAGGCCTCAACTTTTGTATCCATCTTTGTAAAATCTAATTTTGGAGGGTTTGTTGTTGTTGTTGTTTGCCAGTCCTGGGTGTTAAAGTCAGAGACTGGGCACTGTCTCTGAGCTGCTTTTGCTCAAGGCTAGCACACTACCACTTGAATCACAGCACCACTTCTGGCTTTTTCTGTTTATGTGGTACTGAGGAATTGAACCCGGGCTTCATGCATGCTAGGCAAGCACTCTTCCATTAAGCCACATTCCCAGCCCCCAAATCTAGTTTTATTTTCTACCAGTTTCAGCAAGAATCTCTTATTTTCTGATCAACATTCATGTCAAAATCCTCATCCTTAGCCGGGTGCTGGTGGCTCACGCCTGTAATCCTAGCTACCAGGAGGCTGAGATCTGAGGATAGTGGTTCAAAGCCAGCCCGGACAGGAAAGTCTGTGGGACTCTTATCTCCAATAAACCACTAGAAAACCGGAAGTGGCGCTGTGGCTCAAGTGGTAGAGTGCTCGCCTTGAGCTGAAGAGCACAAGGACAACGCCCAAGCCCAGAGTTCAAGCCCCACAACCGAAAGAAAAAAAAAAAATCCTCATACTGCTTCTTCATCCAGGTGATAGCAGGACACACTGGCATCCCTTCAGCCAGTCTTAATTGGTTACTTAGGAAGAAATCACCCTACCACTTCAGCAGGTTTCCATCCACCAAACCCTACCACCACCTGTTCCTTGACTATAATTACCCATTTGTACCCATTTGTCCATAATGTATCTAAAATTTAGAACATTTCTTTACTAAGTCCTCTATTTCCATGCTGAAATAGTTCCTGAATTAAATCTGTTCTTACCTACCTAACGTGTCAAAAAAGGGCATGTTTTAAAATGTATACACATAGAAGCTGGTCCAGTTCACCCACACGTGACTACAAGAATTGCCATCCACCTTGTCCGCACCCATTTTTGCCCTCTGCTCAGGCTGGCAAATGACATGAGACAAGTGTAACTCACAAGTGTGCAATCTGATACTACCACATACTGTCAGCAAAGGAAGCGTTTTGAGAGCTGCATCAAAACTATGAAGAGGAAGCTTTGCTCTCCTCTCTCATACTTTTTTGAATACCCTGATCCCACAGAGGGGATTCCCAGTATACACAAATCACTGAAGCCCTCCTGTTCACAATTTAGGAAAATTCTTTTAAGCATATTGGTTTCCCGGAAAGCATTTTTTTCTGGGTCTGTATTTACAAGCCTTTTGAACTTGTTTGGTTTGGCCTAATGCCCTGCCTGCCAGCTTAATGATAAATCAAAGGCCAATAGAAACTGAAACTAAACTGATAGTTCCTTAACTCTCATATTCTTTCAAAACTAGACTAAGGATCAAGGAATACCAGGACAGGAAATTCATGTAAAGCTTTGCATAAATAGAGAGAAATGTAAACTTTAAGAATAGTTATCGGGCTGGGAAGGTGGCTCAGTGGTAGAGTACTTGCCTTGCATGCATGAGACCCTGGTTCGATTCCTCAGCACCACATAAGCAGAAAAAAAAGCCGGAAGTGGCACTGTGGCTCAAGTGGTAGAGTGTTAGCCTTGAACTGAATCGCTGAGGGACAGCGCCCAGGCCCAGAGTTCGGGTCCCACCACTGGACCCCCCCCCACAAAAAAAGAACAGTTATCATTTAGTTTTTATTTAAATAGTGCAGTATTGACTGTGGATGAAACAAGTAATAGTAGGTCTACTGTTGTCTTAGGAAGTTTGATTTTCTTCTGCCTTATTTCCCATGTTGATCTGCTCTCCTGAGCAGACTCCTCAAAAATATAAGGATTGTTGGTTTTAATTCAATTCTCCCCAGACAATGAACAGACTAATTCATTTTCCTTTTCTGATCCTGGAAAAGGAGTGAGCTGTATACTAGAGCAGATCATCTTAGTCACTGGCAGGGTTCTCATTATAAATGAATGAACTGTCTAGTTTATATTTTAGGTTTTCACAGATTTAATAAAATGAATATAATGAACAACTCTGTGCATATGCTTACTCTGGAGCACGGAGGAACATGGACTTTCTGAACCTGTAAAGCTTGAAGTTCAGATACTTCATAATCCTCGCAAGGTATTTCAGGACTCTACCAGCTTTCCTAGCAGATTGGTTGGCTTTCCTCCATACTATTTTTCATGGCATTGATGACTGGCATATACTTTCTCCTCCTGGCTACTTTCTCAGTACAGTACACATTAAAGGTTCTTCTGAAGCCTTTTTCTCTCTGAAGTCTCTTCTTAGTACTAGTGACCTTTATGAGTATGCTCTCTTCTAAGCTTCTGTATTAGTAATTTCCTGAAATGTTTCATGTATTTTAGACTTCCAAATTAGAATGCAAGTCCATCAAGGACACTAGATCTTATCCCTCCTGATATTTCTGGGAGTACCTTCATTCCCTGTACAAAGTAGAGACAATTTTCCTTCTTCTAACACTATCCACAGCAGATGAGTATATGCAATGAGGAGGTTTGCATTCCCTCAGTTAGCCAACACATGATCATAGATACTGACAATGAGTAATGAAGGAACTTTCAATGACATAACACCTTTTATATTCACACCAGAATCCTTTAAATGAAGAGTCTAGCTTACGAGATGAGAATACCCATACTGACAGCATCTACCTAAATCTATGCTCACTTCTGAGCAATGAAAGTCTTTTTTAGTTAAGCTTGGTTCCTAAGTTTAGGGAAAGTAATACCCATATCTAAATATGAAAATCTTATGCCAAATACAAATTTGCTTTGGTTTTTTTTTTTGGTCAGTCATGGGGCTGGAACTCTGGGGCTGAACTCTGGGCACTGTCCCTCAGCTCTTCAGCTCAAGGCTAGCACTCTACCACTTGAGCCACAACACCACTTCCAGTGTTTTCTGCTTATGTGGTGCTGAGGAATCGAACCCAGGGCCTCATGCATGCAAGGCAAGCACTCTACCACTGAGCCACCTTCACAGCCCCTACAAATGCTTTTTGAAGAAGCACAACTCTGTAAATTTGGACTCATTCACCCATCCATCTATCTATTCATCTAATAGTAGCTGAATGCCTCCCAAATGCCAGGTTATGTTCTACTTGGTAGGGATACAGCTTATATTCTAGTGAGATCTGAGAATCACAATTCAGAGCTAGCCCGGGCAGACAAAACCACAAGACTCTCTACAGTTAAACAGCACAAGGATGGAACTGAAGGTATAGTTCAAGTGGTTTGAGTACTAGCCATGAGCAAGAAAGCTGAGCAAGAGTATATCATCCTTAGTTTGAGCTCCGGTAGCAGTACATACACATTAAAAATAATTATTCCACAATATGTATGAAATGTTTGATAATAGTCTAAAACAGAATCCAATCCAATATGGTATGTTTTAAGTAAGAAAAATACTGTTTTAAAAATGCTGTAAGTGACTGGATGTAGGTGGCTCACGCCTATAATCCATGGTTCAAAGCCAACCCAGGCAGGAAAGGTCTATAAAACTCTTCTCTCTGATTAACCACCAAAAATCCAGAAGTGAAGGGAGAGTGCTAGCCTTGAACAAAAAATCTCAGGGACAATACCCAAACCCTGAGCTCAAGCCCCAGGACCAGTCAAAAACAAAAACTAAAGCAAAACGGTAAGTGAACAAATGTCTGTATGATTGCTTACTGGTGACACATATATGAATATCTATAATATATGTGGGTAAGATATATGGATTTTTTCCTATTTTAGCATGAATCTCAGTGTCAGACAGGTCTACCTTAAACTTTTTCTAGGTGCTATATTCCCAAAGCCCCCAAATAACCACAACAATGACTTTGGTCAATTAAATCAGAAATCCAAATAAAGAACATTTTCAGCTGCATTAACAAAGTGCTTGA